GCCTTTATCGACCCTGCTGCACATCTATTTAAACCCTCACTAACGCACACTGTGCCCCGAAGAGAGGTCAGCATCAGTCAGGTTTGATTCATTATGGTCGTTCTCGCTGCGGCCTGTGCCTTACACAGTGCAGAGGAATACATTGATTGGCTTTAATGGCAACTTAACCCACACATGAGGTACAAGGGATCCAGACAAAAAGGACAAAGAGAATCAATGTGGAAATTCAAACTGCCTTATATGGATACATATTTGCCCGTACGCTTTCATTAATATCCACGAAGTGTCAAAGAAATGCTGCTTTTGATGGTTTGTGTCATAGCAAGTCTAGATCACTTGACAATACTAGGTACAACACAAAATTAAAATTCGCAAATATTTATCCACTCAAGCCTCCCCATTTCAAATTTGGTCAGGAGTACGCCTCAGATTTTCTCTACCAATAACAGCTTTTAGTAAAAACTAGTGCCAGGTTTATGGGTTTGCGCAATGCTGCTTGCATCCATATTCCCCCTCGAGTCATTTGACGCAATGGTCAAAATGCAAAAAAAATAAATAAAAATCAAAATCAAGGCTACAAAGCATCACTCTGCAAACAGGACAGTTCAACCTCTAGTGTTTTATGGACAACATGTAAGTTTCACCAACTTGAAGACCGCTGCTGTCTGTGTACAAGGGTAGCACTCAATACTTGTACATACATTCGTTGGTGTGCCTTGGACATCAGCATTCGTTTCAGGGTGTGGACTTTCCATGCAAGATGAGAGCTGGTTATTGTATCTGTATAGGTCACTGCAACAATATCCACTTTTCTGAATATGCGTCACGATGGATTAAATATTAGCGTGCCAAAATGTCTGGGTTTTGTTCATAATTCACCAGATAAAAAAAATAAACCTGATACTATGTTAAGAGCAGTAATGATTTGCATAAACAAAACTAACACGAGCAACCGTCTGTAGGCTCAAGCTACGTTATTAGCATCATTAAAGTCCCATTGACCTGTCCTAGTCAGTGGCAGGAATCATTTTAGTGCATTTAGCCAAGCGCATCAGCAGCAGTACTGTCCCCCAGCAGCAGAAAGGGTCATCAGAGACAGCAGGGCACTCATTTCTCACAACACTGTTGGCAGAGACCTTGTTACAGAAGTCATAATAGCACATACAAAGTAGAAATATTGGTGGACCTGCTGATTTATACCGCTCAGTACCTGGTTTGCAAAGTGCGGAACAAACACAGAGTATGACCACCAGAAACATTGCCCTTGAAAACTTTTCCATTCCCCCATCTGCAGGTCAGCTGACTGTCTTTTATTAGCACTTCATTAAAATTCATTAATTGCTTCCTTTCTCCTGGGCACGGGGAGAATCGAAACTGGAACTGTCAAAAAAAAAAAAAGCAACTGTCCTGCGCTCTACATACACAACTGTTAATGTCGAGCCGCAGCCAACACGCGTCACACCCATCTGTTAACACGATGACAGAACCAGAGGGCAAACTTAAAGAAGTAAACATTTTTATTTACTTGTTATGTACATAAAGGGTCTTTACCAGCACAGGTGTTAACCATGGGAAATATTAACACATGTAAATGGCATAAGAAAATAAAAGGCACAATCTTTCAATTTTTTTAAGTAAAAGACAAGCTTTCCTAAAATATGTGAAGAGAGCACAGTAATACTGTTAATGCCATTACAAAATAACTCAGAAGCATGAGGAAAAAGCAAAGTTCATCTCAAAGGGAAATTATCAGAGTGTATTGCTTAATTAGTAAGATTTCATTAAGCTTGACAAGGAAAACCCCAACACGGTGCGTCTGTACACAGCAGGTGGGATTAAACGAGAAACTTTTATTTAATGAGGAATTTAATGACATCAAGCAGCATTTGGCGAGGGGGGGAAAACAAACAAAAAAAAAAAAAAAGATCTCCCTGGCTAAGAGGTCATGCACAGAGGCAACCAGCAGGCATTTATTCGTTTTCCCTTTTTAAAATGTCACCCATGGTTACTTTTAATAACATCACTCATTAACAAAAATACTTGATTTCATAGCTTACTACGAACTCACCGAAAAGGAAAACAGGGATACAACTAAAAGATTTCTAAGTCGTTTGCTGAGCAATGATTTTCTCCTTTTCCTTTTGTTAACAGAAAGCGCTAAAAGAAGTGACAGAGGGGGGTAGGATGGGCAGGGGTGGGATTGATCAGTTTTTACAGCACAGACCTGGGGTTCTGCACCGTTTGCACATCTGTTTAATCCTCGGCTCGACAGAATCGACTGTGGCACGGTGTGATGAGATTCTTTCTACTACTCAGCATGAAGGAGAAGAATAATTGGTGTGCAGACCGAAAATACTCAAGGAATAAAGCTGGTTGAAAAAAGTTAATAAAAATCCTACATTGAGAGGAGTATCATCACAATAAAAACTAAAGGGCCAGAGATGGGATTGCATGCGCTAGAAGTAAGACTTGTCTTACTTTGAAAAGGCATTGATGGGATCTCATTGGCTTGCTCAGACATTCCTCCTTCCCCGACCTACGCCACTGAGTTCTTCATCTCAGTGGAAAGGCTTCAAGTCCTCATGCCCACACTGTGTGGACACTATGTTTTTAGTATGTTTAGCCTTGTAGTCAGATGCTTGTGGAAAGTGCTCGCCAGGGCTGTTGCTATTTGGCTTTAGAAACCCTGCTCAAAGCTTGGCACTCCTAATGCATATAATCTAAAATGTGTCTTAGTCTTCAATGATCTCCAAGCAAGTAAAGAGGCACCAACGTGGAGATGCAAGGTTACCCCACTATCCATGTCAACAAATCCAAACAAAAAAATAAAATTAATCATTGGACAATGATTTAGAAAATAGCAACAATTATGATGAAGTCACATGGCCGTGTCATGTCTTAGTAACATAAGATAAATAAGCTATCAGCCAGTCAGGATGTAGAATGGATGGGATAATGAGATCTACCGTGCCATGTTCCAACTCAAATCCTCCACACACCCCATCTCTTTCTACTTCCTGCTAATCTGTAACACACACACACACACACACACACAAATCTGTCTACCTGAATAACTCATGGCCAATGTGTACAAGTGTGTGCTTGTGCAATGGTTAAGGTACAACAGTGACTTGATTGTTTGGAGAAATAACATGACTGGCTGGTTAGCTCCTCATTGCCTCAGTGCTCTCCCTAGTCCATAGGGATAATTCTTTCTTTCCCTATTTCATAAAAATATTCTCACATCAACAAAACAAGCATACATCAACACTTCCGAAAGTCCCAAAGACGTCAAACATAACAAATATTAAGAGAAAACTTTTTTTCCTTTTTTTTTTTTTTTTTTTAAAAGACGTGATGTTATATGCTAACTATCCATTGTGGACACACACATACCCACACACACAGTCTGATGCCCAGTGATCTGGAAATGAAAAGAACACTAATGCAAAAATGCCACCCAGCCTGGAACAAAGATAAGGGAAAAGGGACCTGGGAAAGTGGGGTCAGGTTTTAGTTTGGATCTAATGTCCAAAGCTGTAAACAGTCAGAAAGCCTTGCAATGGCTGGCAACAACAACAGGAAAGGGGGAGGGGGGTTGCTATCATGGTACAGCCCCAAGCAGGCAAGCACATAACTGTGACACTGGCAGGAAAAGATGGAGACAGCCAGCAGATTCGGGTACTCGGCGATACGGGAGAGAGGCTTCAGCTGAACGCCTAGGTCAGTCACTCTCCTCTGGATTCTGGGGGTCTATGATTTTGACATGGGTGAACGGGAAGAGACCCCTCCGTCCGTTCACCTCTCCCTCCCACTGACCGCTGATGTTCATCCGCGTAACCTTGACAATGTCACCAACCTGAGAAAAGAAAGCAGAGTTACAGGAGAACTGGTGTCAAAGTCTAACCTAATTACACACAAGACATTCTGCACGATGCAGTATTCGGGAGTTGTTTTGTGCCATTTAAACCTTTTAGTCAGAAACTTGTAAAACAAAACTACAATCCGTGTCTTACAGTAGTCAGTCATAGGCCCAATTAAAAAAAACTAAATCCTTATGACAAGTGGCTTATGTTTGTTTTAAAGCCTGTTCCAAACTACAACAATAAACCCTTTGAGGTTACAGAACATCCAGTCTGATTTATTAATACACGCTTTCTAAAATAAAACCCAGACTGTCAGATCTCCACTGTCACATTACACCGCAGGTTAAAAGATGACAGAAGAGCGCCGAGCTGTCGCTCAGATGGTTTGTGACACTGCGTGTGACCCCAATCTGTTAAAGCCATATGTTCTTTATCAGGATTAGGAGGGGGAAAAAGTCCATCATCAAAACCACGACTGAAAATACGATGTGAGGGCACACCAGTGTGGCATCGATTTGAATGAAGCTTCAAATCCTGTCCTGGACTTTGGAACTACAACGATGTCACTCTCAAATGACAAGTATATGATGTATACAGTCATAAAAAGTATAAGTGAGATCGGTCAAAAAGTCAGAAAAGGTCAGGTTGGGACGTTGAGAACTTCACAAGGTTTAAATTAAGGTGTTAAGTGTTGCCTTATGTCAAGTAGAGAGA